TCATCCCGAAGTTCCCTTATTCAGAAAGTTCGACAGCAGTACTGATCATTACGAACGACAGCTGTATACTCTCTCTGGTGGTGAGTAAATATATGTACAAAAATAGCGAGCGATATATAATTTTCCATTAGCTTCAAATTCCAAGGATGGCTAAGCGAGATAAAACATAGCTCCGTTCGTTTACCACGTTTTTCTCTCTCGTTTCTGTTTGCGTTTTATCGGAGACGACGACGACGACGACGACGATGACGACGATCTAAAACACGCCGGATGACGATGTACGCTTAACTCGCTCGTGGAAACTAGGCAAAAAACGTTAATTTCTTCAACATGTGCACCGGAGGTGACGGATCGCAGGCGATAAACGTTTCTCCTCTTGTCGACGACGGCGACGGGTATCGTTGTCTTCGTTTCTCGCGTGCGCGCGTGCGTATATGGCCACGCACAGGCGGTATGTACGAAAAAAACCGCCTCGGTTGCGCTCGGACTCCGTCTCTGGCGCGCGGCGCTTTTACATTCTTAGCAGGAGGTTCGAGCTGTAAAATTTCGTCTAGAGAATCGAGAGTCGTTTGTGTCGTGTTTCGAAGAAATTGTCAAAAAAAGTCTCGAGGCTGTTCAAGAGAAGAGACAGTCTTCTTTTGAATTAGAGTTTAAACAATTAATGTGTTATTTTAAAATTTTGTTGAGACTAAACGCAATAAGTTTATTATTAATGAACTTTTAAGAATTTTCTGAGAAACAAGCACAGGTATAATATCTCACGAATGAGTATAAATAAAATCAAGTTTTGTTTTTAATCGCGGTTCCGAAGACACGAATATATTTAGTTCAAAGAGCAGTCGAAATAAAATAAAACTGATTGCTTATTTATACCTTATTCGAGTTTTGTCATTTTGAATAAATGCAGCTGTTTCGTCGTTTGATCCGGTGCAACGAGTTGCGCGAGAAATCAGCTTCGAGGCACGAGACACAACAAAGCGTCCACGTAACCTTGATACGTTTCCGCGGCAAGAAAAATCGTCAAAGCGAACACGGCCACTTTCGCTCTCACCTTCGATACCTTCGATTTCCCTTTTGCTTCTTATTCTCGTGAGACTCTTCCTGGGACTCGTGACGACCTTGGGAAGAGATTATGTACTCGTATCGACGTAATAACCTCTTCCCCCATAGAATTTTTGTCAGATGAATTGTGAGTTGATTTTTCACACAGTTAATTTTTCTTTACCTTGTTTTTTCTCAGAAAATTACGTCGTATATTAAACTTGGAAATAAATTCTTGTTTAACAATTCGCTGTTAAATTGATCGAAACTCTATTTTCTCTATTTTCTCTACGGTTTGTTAAAAACTGATTTATTACATAGAAGAGTTTTATCGAATTTTAGTCAGAAGCTCGGCGAAACTTATTACACGCGCGACCGAAATGAACGAGACTTTTCACAAATCGGATTAATAATTGTAAATTATTATAAGTATGACTTAATGTGTGACATTATATTCAAAGTGATAGAGAGAGTTTATTCGCTCTCCGATTTATTCGACAAAATTTCTTTTTACTTGTGTTGCAATTACAGAAAAAATTATTTCGATATAAGTTTGCGCAAGAGAAAAATATAATTAATTTTTTACATTTTACTCTTTTTCATGTTTGACGCGTGTTAATGCAAATTTTAGTTAATTGACAACATTAACTAGTGAGGTGAAATATATCTATAAATTATAATTTGAACACGGTTTAATTAAATCGATTTATTTAATCAATTATAATATTGGAGTAGAACACAAATATTCTTTCAATTCTTTTTGACAATTCTTTAATTAATATGTTACATTCTTCTTTACATTTTTTTATTCAGATGTTATTTATCGACATGGTTAATAATTAAAAATAGTGATACTAGAATTCCAGTGATACTGGCCATAAGACAATTTTTAACGACCAATATTGTGCCTGTTCGTTAATGTTTTACTGCTTTTTCGATCAATTTATTCTGCTCAGGTATTAATTCGCAAACTTAAGCGTGAGAATACCTGAATGATCCTTGATTCTTCCCAATAGCGACGAAATACATACCGACGCGAGAAAATATTCAAAGGGAACGAAACGCGGGATAAATTAATCATTCTCATTGTCTTGCTTGAACAGTTTCTCGGAAATTGTCGAGAGACTTATTTTAATTGCGCGATTGGATCAAATGAAGTAAATCGAGCGCGTCTCGGTATTTAAACTTCAACGATGTTCTTTCTCTCTCTCTAATCTTTTGATTGTTCCGACTACTGTCATACATATTCACTCCGTGTATGTATGACGAAAGTATATTTCGATATGCGGTGTTTACTAATGACGTGCGCGATTTGTTACACAAGTTGAACGAAAATATGCGATAAGTGATTCTTCGAAAATATTCGTTGTTGAAAAATTATCATTCGATCGAAAGTGCGATGTAACCAATTTACCTCCCGGATAATTTGATAATTTATTGCGTCAGTTTCTCACGATGTAGGAATAAATTTGTTCTAACGACAAAATGTTTGTATACAGAGTTTTTTGTTTATTTAGATGTCGATATTTGTTCTTTTGTTTAAAACAAAAAAGAAAAATCAAGTTACGAAGTTTCTCGGTTATTTCACGCACGTAATTACGTGTGCATTGAAGTGAACCCGACGCGCGCTTATTTACGGCACTCGATGGAAAGTACACCCGGTATAAGGAACGCAGACGGCTCTTGGCCCGTGAACTAGTTGACCAGCTGCTCTTCAACGAAAAAGTACAAGTCAGCTGTTTTCTGGTGTGGCGCGCGCCACGCCGGTTTTCAGGCGTCGTCCCGATGGATTCTAACCAACGGTAGGAATCGACGAGAAAAAAATGAACGATGCGTCGCGTCGGTTTGCCTCTTATTTCACAAGGTCGATTCTGAAGAAGAAAAGTCGATTTCGGAACGCGCGTCGTTACATACTTAAACTACTTGTCACGTTCACGCTAAATTTTTCACTCTCTGAAGTTAAAACTTCCAGGCGTGTGTGTGTATGTGTGTGTATGCGTGGCTTTTTTTAATATTTCTATTCACAGATAATAACTGGTTATATACGTAACCACTTTAGATGAAGTTTCTTAAAAGAAAGAGACGTGGGTGAGAGGAAATACTTAAAAACCAATTTGAATAGAGTAGAAATACACTTAACACTTTTCCGGCGCGAATTACGTATGCGTGACTTTGGAAAATGTTTCAAAAAATATCATACGTTAAAAGAATATTAATGTTTTTTAATTAATAAAAATATTTCGCGCCGAAAGTATTACCCGCCGAGAAAGTGTTAAAAACAACTTTGTGTAATAGTTAAAAAATTATATTTTTTCAAAATCTAACTGTATTTTCTGGCACACGATTTGTTGATTCCATAACACCGACTTCGTGATCGTTGATCGCGACACCACGAAGAAAATATCAAGCTATAAATTTTCAAATTATTTGCAAACAATAGTAGTTTTTTTCTCGTGTGTTTGTAATGGGTGTTAAATATTAAGTTCTTACACGATCCTTATTTTAAATAACACATTGGAGCGATTAGCTCACGACCGAGTTGAGAGCCGCTGTTCTTTGTAACCGTTTGCCCGGAACGAAACGGAATGTAACCGACCAGAGAAAATACGTAGGGTATGTTCGTTGCGTGTAACGTCTTTCGGATCCGGAGCAGGTGCCCTTTCGTTACTTTCGAAGGGAATTCAGTGCCTTAAAGCAATTCTTCTGAAGATGACTCGTTAAAAACTCGTTACACGTGTCACTTTAATAACGTTTAGGTGGTCAATTAGTAATATAATATTATATATATATGTTTTATAATTTTGTATAAACTAAACAACATTCCATATACGTGTATGTGTTACGGAACGTCAAACATTGCACAGTATATGGACGTAAATTTAAAAAAAAAAAAGATATTGCTGTAATAAAAAGAAAGAAAGATATTTTCTATAAATGTATGACACTCTTCTTGGAATTACGACGCCAATTTTTTTTTTCGCACTTGCACGAGTATTCGAGTCCTTTGACTTTATGTTTCTTAAAAATATGACGGTATCATAGCTTTCATTTATTATCGTTATTTCGAATTCATCATTCAGTTATTTTTTGTTAGCCGACAATAGTTCGTTTGCGATTATGCGGATGTTCAAATGATTCGCCTCATTTTTTAGACCTCTTCTCGTAATTGCTTACGTGATAACTTACCTTTCAAATCTAAGAAAAAATATAAAAAAAAGAAATCCGGCTTGGCTTTGTCTCCCTCGGCTTTTCCGGGACCGTTTTCTCACGCGTGTCAACCTTTTGTGAAATATTTTTCCCTTGGTGGCATAGCTATTAATCTTCTTCTCTCTACCTGTGTTGTACAGATACAATTTCCTTCTACGAAATACACAACACTTGGATAGGTCAAATTTAATAGTGTTTATTTTACAAATATATGATCTATAAACTCTCACATTGTGAAAAATATGAGTGATCTTTGCATTTTTATCAATTTTTTGAGTAAGGAAATTTGATAATTTTGCAAACAGATATGTCGCTGCAGTAATTTCGCGAACAACTGGCGAAATAAGAAAGTTTTTCAATTACAACTTCGTGTAATTCGACGACGCGAGATACTCTTACAATAAACTTTTAAACATTTTCAACTCATGATTCAAGTTACGATCTCATTTATATCGTGAGCGAATGATCGGTTTGACCAACGACTTTTCTCGAATCGACCAGTTGTGACGCTAACGGATCCTGCATCGCGTCACACCACGCGATGAGGGTGTTGCGCGCCATCCGGGAGGGTAACAGGGAGAAAACACCACCGGCGCGGCGATGGCAATGGCGGTGGCGTCGGCGGCGATGATGGTGGTGGTGGTTCGAAGGTCCCCCCACCATTCATCGTAGCGTCTCGACGCCGTGGTTCGACTCGACCTCCACCATCAGAGCGTCGTCTCAGTTACCAACAGACTGCGCGATTGCTCGCATCGCTGACGCGAAGCGAGAGGGGGAGAGAGAGAGAGCGAAAGAACGAATGAGAGGAAGAGCGTGAGAGAGAGAGAGAGAGAGAAAGAGAGAAAAAAAGAAAAGAAAAGAAAAAGTGTTCGAGTGTTGCATACACGCACAAAAAGGAAGCGAAAAGAAAGAACAAATAAAATAATACGAACAAAAGGTGCATCGTGGGAGGAAAAAAAGGAGAAAGAAAGAGAGAAAGAGAGAGAGAGAGAGGAGAAAAGGAAAAGAGTGAACTATGCTACGAGTCGTCTTCTTGGTCGTCACCGCCGTCATCATCGTGCCGCTCGGTCTCGCCTGAACAAAGGAAGGTTCTTCTCCCTCAGCTCTCCGCGCCGAGGGTCGTTTCCGATCGACGAACCGTCGGGATCCTTCCTCGGGTGTCTTCGGTGCGGTTCGTGTGTTCGAGCGCGCACGAAGCGGTCAGTCACGTAGCAGCGACCGTCGTGAAGAGTTGTGGGGAACAAAGGACGACGGCAGGATTTCGCGTAGGAGAGACAGCGAGAGGAACAACGAACGTTATTACAGTATAATCGTGCGCATCATTACGCTCCAAAACATTTGTTAACTGTTCGCGACTGAGAAAACCGGATTCCGACATCTATTCGAATTTTGCGAATCGAGATACAGTGCCCAGCCGAATATCGTGAGAACTACACACGAAGGTTCTTTCGAAAGAGACGCGCGCTGCGAGTTTTGCGACAAAGAGAGAAAGAGAGAGAGAGAGAGAGAGAGAGAGAGGAACTTGCGAGAGATTCGCCGACGCGTCGAGATTTCCGTTTCGACTTGTGCATTGTGCGTACTTGTGCGCGTGATTTTTTGCTCTTTTCTTATACTTTTCTATCCTGACATTTTTTCAAGTTACGAGACAATCTCATATAGGAGAGAGTGAGAAAGAATTTAACAAACCAAAAAGAAAAACAGTTCTGTCTCTGTTGAACATCCCGCTGAGAAAGACGCGATTTGTGAGTGAGGGAAAGAGACCGATATACCTGATTGAATGTTGAAAGAAGAGCGATAGAGGAGAGAAAAAGATCCGGATTCTCTCTCTGATGGTATTTGTGAGTAATATACCTGCTTGCTCAGCGAACCGGCGACCTAACCCTAATGACAACGACGGCTGAGAAACGCGCGCGAGAATCGGAGAATCTCGTTGTGTAAAAGAGAAAGAGAGAGATAGAGAGAGAGAGAGAGAGACGGGGGAAAAAGAAGGCGAAAGGAAAAGGACGAAAGTGAAAAAGTTCAACGGCGATTGGTTCTCCTTCTTCGGATTCTCTTGTCGCTTCTTTGCGCGACGTCCTTTGTTTTCTTGTGACATGTGCCACAGAGTGTACCACGATTGAAGAAAGACGAAAGCGTAACACATTTTCGACCACACACGGATTATCCTCGTATTGACGGTAAGTTTTTTTTTTTTTGGTCAAGGATAAATGTGGGAAAATCTCCGAGACAAATACTTCGAGAAAAACTGAATGCGATTCTTCTGGAAGTTCTTGAGGTGCTTTTCGGAGCACACGATCTGAATGTGTTTCAGACAAATTGTTTTCTATAGAATATGGTTTTTTTTTTTTTTTGCTATTGGAAAAGGAACAGGCTTTTGATAGAATAAACGATTGTGCGCTTAAAGTTGATGTGCGTTTCATAAATCATGTGCAAACACTCGCTTAAATCGTTCGGAATATTCTCATTTCGTGTATCAGCCTTTGTTAGTTGAATGACGATTGTTCGAGCAGATTGTCGCTTTGACAATCTGTTCGAACGACTTCTCGATTACGAAATTTATAATAGAAAGGTCGCTTCTTTTATCGTTAAAAAATTCCTAGGTACGATAGGCTCTCGCCTTGTTATACTCGTCGTCTCTCTGTGTTGTGTTTCTCACGCAGAGTAGATTCGAACAGAACTTGGGAAAAAATTTTAAGTTTTCGAAATACATGTATAGTAGATAACGTGTCTCGAGGCGAATAATTTTTCGGTGCTGTTTTCGGAGCGCGTGCTCCAATTCGATTTTTCCGCAGTAAATCGAAACGTTTGTGTAAACACAATTGTCGTCGAGTTCTCTAGTTTAGCGCTGGATAATTTGCATCGTCGCGCGATAATTAGGAAAATAGGTTATCACGTGGAAAAAATTAACTGATTGTTGCGGGCAATATCATTGTTGCATTAAATATCATATCTCAATGTTATAATCGCTTTTTTCTTAGTAATATAAATATATAATCTGTTTTATTGCGGAGAAATAAAACATTGTAACGGAAGATTGAGGAATATTGTGTTGCGAATACAATTTATTGTTTTTTGTGGAGTTTATTAATTTGACACAACGGTTTGTTGAGGTTACGGGAACGGGGAACTCGATAATATCAGATAGTCATATTTAGCTCCAAATTTACGTGGTCGGACCATGGGTCTTTGAAAATCGCCTCATTATTACAAAGTTAACCGTGTTGTGTTGTTCGCCGGCGGGATGCGTTCTCTCACAGAATATCGAAGAGAGGTTAATTAAACACTCGCTCGAGAACAACGCGCCTTGTCGTTGACGTGGTGGTTAATTATTCAAAATCCCAGCGTGTGCGTGTCGACAAAACATTTCAAAATTACCACCAAACTATTTGCACCTTCAATGTCACAAAAATCAAAAACTAAGATCTTATACGAACAAGTGAAGACAATAGTGGAATAAGATTAATATTAATTTGCTCTAATACAATACAATTTTGCAATTTTATAATCTATTAAACTGTGCGAATTTTGCGCCGACAAATTTTGCACGATTGAAATTTGAATTAAACTTGCAACAGTTGGAGTGAAACTTAATCGGTTTGTTTTCTGGACGAGTCACGTATCTACACGATTTATAGTTCTATATAGTTAAGATACATAAAAAAATAGACGTATATTTTAATGAAATATTCTTCAAAATCCTCGAGCTCTCGAATATTGGCAAAGCGAAATAAAAACGCTCATCGTGTACGGACGGGGGTCATTGATTTTTGTAATACTCCATCTCTGTCGATGAATGTCGGTGGAAAAAAAGAAAAATACATTTACTTTTTTTCTATGACATAAGCAACTACTTAATTAATTATCATGTCCCGCCGCGCGCGCGCGCGCGTTGCGGCTTTGGAAATGAAAAATCGGTCCGCTTTTTATATTTGCGTTTTTTAAAATTAATATTAATACGTATACGTATATATATCTACACGCACGTTTCTGCACAACATCTTTGAAACAGGCTCTTATTGACGATATTTATTACTTAGTTTGAAAAACTTCAGAGCCTTAAAAAGATTTTCTTAATTGTTTTTTAATATTCCTGCATTTTTGTCATTGTCGCGTTCTTTGCGCTTTTTCAACTGATAAAACCGAATTCGCTTGCGTTTTCGAATCAGCAATTAAATATACTCTTGTGTAATTTATTCCAGCACTATATTGTACATTGACTGTTAGTAAACTTATATACGTAGTTAGCTTGTGATGATCTTAGTTTTACTCTGTTAAACGTCATTGTTTACATTATTATTATTTTTGTTTACTTGTATCTGTTATAAATTTTTTATATAGAATATATAAAATTCAGAGATGGCTTATGTTGTTTTTTTTCTGTGACTTAATCGAGTAAAACAACAAGTGATTTAATTCGAATCTATACGCTCTTATTGTATTTGTTTGTTCTTTTCGGAAAGTTCTCTCTTTCTGAATGATGATACATTCGCGTCGGGATTTAAGAGGAAGTGGATTCACGCAACCGTTAGTATTTGCGCCGCGATAAAACTGACGCATGTAAATATCTACGTCCTCTTTGGTATTAAAGTGTCATTGCGATTAATGCGTCATCGCCGGTGTATACATATGAGCGAAATACCGCGCGTAATCGCTTTCCGTTACATTAAAGTTTCAGTGATGCGTCGCGAACGAGGTGCATTTCTTCCACACGGAGAAAAAAGTTTGTGTAGTGGAAAGCAGAGAACACACAAACCCGGGTCGCATTTTTCCGTAAGCTGCATTGTCTGTTCAGGTAGAGAGGAAAAAGCACAAAAAATAATACTGTGTACAGACATCTTAAAATTGAGCAAACACTCAAAAAAAATCGACCGAGACACGTGAGAGTAATGAAACCAAATTCTAAAAAGATAGATATATTTGAAGTGAAAGAGAAAAAAAATGTTGCTTTGATTTTATATAATTTTACAAATACATTTTTTAACATTTTTGTTTGTAAAATGTTTGTTGATACTTTAATGAAATACTGTTGATTAAAAAAACCTTTTACTAATATTTTTTCTCTCTTTCTGTTTCTCAATTGCCAAAACGTAAGGTGTGTCAACAAAATATCACGTATCGGTTGTCAACATAACAACATATCGCGCTTGAATGAACGAATATTTCACAATTTTTTCTCAAACGAAAAACTTCAGCAAACAAGATACACGGGTTTACATCGATGTTTCATGTTTGATAAATAATCAGCGTATCCATGTTTCTAATGATCAGTTTGACGAGCAGATGGTTATGATAATTAGGGTTTTGTTCGGCACACGAACGCGAAGCCATTTAATTCTCATCGATAGGCTTTTATCTCGCGGTGACAGCTGTTTAAATCAGACACAATGTGTATCTGGCGTCAGCTTGATCTCTTTTTTCCTTGAATTTGAGATTAATTAACTTTTCGCGCGCGAATAGTCAATGAGATAAGGTTAAAATCGTTTGAAAATCGTGTCTCTCTGTATCATAATCTAAAACATCGTTAAAATATGTCACGTACGGTTCACATACAGCAGACTTATTAAAGAATTCGGAAAAAAAGAATTCAATTTTATTTTAGTAATTTAATTAGTATTAAATTAGTAGTATTAGTATTATCTTAATTACTTTTATAAGAGACATGTTAATTTTTCAATTTTTGAACCTTCTTGCGCGTAAATATGGAAAAGTTGTAGCTGCGAAACAAATTTGTCAAAATTTCTCGGAAAAGAAATTTTTTATATTTACCGTTGCAACAATATTCCGTCGTGTAACATTAGAAAATTTGATATTCTTTTTGTGAAATAGAACTATCTGTCTAAAAGGATTTTTCTTGGAAACTCGGGGTGTCTTATTTAGTAAATTCATTGTGTGGACGTGCCTTAAACAGCGAAAGTAAACTATCCGCACTGGAGCTCTCTCACGAGTTCTTGCAAGTTTTACTGGCACAAAGACGATGTAGTGTATCTCATATAGACAAGAGAGTAGACGATTGTCATTTGCCACACTCTCGCATGTTACATAATTATATGCTTAGAAAACCGATCTAGAGAGAGTCGCGTGTAATAATAGCGCGCGAGTGGATTTAAAGTATTATTTCATCGACATGTGTCTTTTTTTCTATAAATTGAAACTTGAGAATTTTGTTTTTATTATAGCGTCAATGTAAAATAAAACATAAATGTTCTGATGTACTATACAGTAAAATGTGATGTGGCACTTAATACGCGTTATTATGAATGGATGATGTACATTCTATATATAAATTGATTGATACTTTATTAGCGTGGTGGAAATGGTCGATGACAACGTTGGTCCTCGACTAAATTGATCTTCTGTATTTGTACATCGATGACATATCAGAAATATAAATATGATGCAAAGCGATTTTCACGCATGATTACATTTGCTTTGTTACACACAAAAAAAATGAGTTTTTTTTTTTTAATAATCGGAGCTATTTAACATTTACGAAAAATCTATAAAAGTGAGATAAAAATACGCGTCGGAGTTATTTGATTAATAATTGTCGAGGTATTTAAGCGAACGACGTCACGGTCGCAATAAAAAATCGCGAGATCTTATTCCGCGTTGAAGTTTCGTGTTTCGCGCATATTTTCGATACTTTAGGCTGCCTTTCTAATAGTCGACGTTTCGTAAGATAGCCTTGCTTTCTGCTCTCTGCGTCGCACACGAGCGCGCGAATTCAGAGCGAATATCAGACCCACGTATATTTTTTGCAACGAATCGATATTTTAAGAACGAACGCGTAAACCCGCGCGTAAATTAATCAGAATAAATTCTCTCTACTCTCATCATGCTATGGCATAAATGGCTTTACAAATTTTCAAATAATATTTATATAGACACGTAATTATATATTTTATTGATTCATACAAATGTATAATATTATTAAATACGTATAATAATAGATTATAATAAATAAATAATATTATGAAATATATACGCATACATATAATATCACATGTAATATTATTAAAAAGTATGTTATTTTTTTAAAACTAAATTGTACTAGAAAAATATGTTATTTTCAGTTTAATTTTTTCCTGTTCTTTGAGTTTTACAAATTTCATATTCATAAAGACAACCAATTTGCTGCAAAGTAATTATTGTTCAGTGTAGTGATGTAAACTTTTTT